ACCCATAGCACCCACAGACACCCATAGCACCCATAGACACCCATAGATACCCAGAGCACCCATAGACACCCATAGCACCCATGGGCACCCATAGACACCCAGAGCACCCATGGGCACCCATAAACACCCATAGACATCCATAGACATCCACAGACACCCATAGACACCCATAGACACCCATAGACATCCATAGACATCCATAGCACCCATAGACATCCATAGACACCCATAGCACCCACAGACACCCATACACACCCATAGACATCCATAGACATCCATAGACACCCATAGACAACCATAGACATCCATAGGCACCCATACACACCCACAGCACCCATAGACACCCATAGACACCCAGAGCACCCATAGACATCCATAGACATCCATAGACACCCATAGCACCCATAGACACCCATAGACACCCATAGACACCCATAGACACCCATAGCACCCATAGACACCCATAGACACCCATAGACATCCATAGACACCCATAGCACCCATAGACACCCATAGACACCCATAGACACCCATAGACACCCAAAGACACCCATAGACAACCATAGACATCCTTAGACACCCATAGACACCCAGAGCACCCATAGCACCCATATACACCCATAGCACCCATAGCACCCATGGGCACCCAGAGACACCCAGAGCACCCATGGGCGCCCACTGGTACCCGCAGATCCCATTACCCCCCACTGGCACGCCCAGCACCCAGTGGCACCCCCAGCACCCATCACCCCCCACTGACACCCCCAGCACCCATCAGCACCCATTACCCCCCACTGGCACCCCCAGCACCCATTACCCCCCCAGCACCCATCAGCACCCATTACCCCCCACTGGCACCCCCAGCACCCATCACCCCCCACTGGCACCCCCAGCACCCACTGGCACCCATCAGCACCCATTACCCCCCACTGGCACCCCCAGCATCCATCACCCCCCACTGACACCCCCCACGCCCCAGGTGCCAGCCACCCCCGATGGGATCCCCACCATTCACCCCCCCACCCCATTGCACCCACTCTTGGCGTGCCGGGGGGGGCACCCATCCAGCGCCTGCTCGAAGAGGTCCCGCGCCCGCTCCAGCTTGCGGCCCCCGTAGCGGGCCACGAACTTGGTGAGGTACGTGAGCCAGATGTCAGCCACGGCCGGCCACCGGAACAGGGACACCCCCCGCTCGTACGCCTGCGGGACACCAGTAACACCAGTGAGAAACACCAGTGACACCAGTGAGAGCAGTGAGAGCGAGAGCAGTGACACCAGTGAGAGCAGTGACACCAGTGAGAGCAGTGAGAGCAGTGAGAGCAGTGAGAGCAGTGAAAGCAGTGACACCAGTGAGAGCAGTGAGAGCAGTGAGAGCAGTGACACCAGTGAGAGCAGTGAGAAACACCAGTGAGAGCAGTGAGAGCAGTGACACCAGTGAGAGCAGTGACACCAGTGAGAGCAGTGAGAGCAGTGAGAGCAGTGAAAGCAGTGACACCAGTGAGAGCAGTGACACCAGTGAGAGCAGTGAGAGCAGTGAGAGCAGTGACACCAGTGAGAAACACCAGTGACACCAGTGAGAGCAGTGAGAGCAGTGACACCAGTGACACCAGTGACACCAGTGACACCAGTGAGAGCAGTGAGAGCAGTGAGAGCAGTGACACCAGTGAGACCAGTGAGAGCAGTGAGAGCAGTGAGAGCAGTGACACCAGTGAGAGCAGTGAGAGCAGTGACACCAGTGAGAGCAGTGAGAGCAGTGACACCAGTGACACCAGTGAGAGCAGTGAGAGCAGTGAGAGCAGTGACACCAGTGAGAGCAGTGACACCAGTGAGAGCAGTGAGAGCAGTGAGAGCAGTGACACCAGTGACACCAGTGAGAGCAGTGACACCAGTGAGAGCAGTGAGAGCAGTGAGAGCAGTACGTGAGCCAGATGTCAGCCACGGCCGGCCACCGGAACAGGGACACCCCCCGCTCGTATGCCTGCGGGACACCGGGGACACCGGTGAGAGCAGTGACATCAGTGACACCAGTGACACCAGTGAGAGCAGTGAGAGCAGTGACACCAGTGACACCAGTGAGAGCAGTGAGAGCAGTGACACCAGTGACACCAGTGAGAGCAGTGAGAGCAGTGACACCAGTGACACCAGTGAGAGCAGTGAGAGCAGTGAGAGCAGTGAGAGCAGTGAAAGCAGTGACACCAGTGAGAGCAGTGAGAGCAGTGACACCAGTGAGAGCAGTGAGAGCAGTGAGAGCAGTGAAAGCAGTGACACCAGTGAGAGCAGTGACACCAGTGAGAGCAGTGAGAGCAGTGAGAGCAGTGACACCAGTGAGAGCAGTGACACCAGTGACACCAGTGAGAGCAGTGAGAGCAGTGACACCAGTGAGAGCAGTGACACCAGTGAGAGCAGTGACACCAGTGACACCAGTGACATCAGTGAGAGCAGTGAGAGCAGTGACACCAGTGAGAGCAGTGAGAGCAGTGACACCAGTGAGAGCAGTGAGAGCAGTGAGAGCAGTGACACCAGTGAGAGCAGTGAGAGCAGTGACACCAGTGAGAGCAGTGACACCAGTGAGAGCAGTGACACCAGTGAGAGCAGTGAGAGCAGTGAGAGCAGTGAGAGCAGTGAAAGCAGTGACACCAGTGAGAGCAGTGAGAGCAGTGAGAGCAGTGACACCAGTGAGAGCAGTGAGAAACACCAGTGAGAGCAGTGAGAGCAGTGACACCAGTGAGAGCAGTGACACCAGTGAGAGCAGTGAGAGCAGTGAGAGCAGTGAAAGCAGTGACACCAGTGAGAGCAGTGACACCAGTGAGAGCAGTGAGAGCAGTGAGAGCAGTGACACCAGTGAGAGCAGTGACACCAGTGACACCAGTGAGAGCAGTGAGAGCAGTGACACCAGTGAGAGCAGTGACACCAGTGAGAGCAGTGACACCAGTGACACCAGTGACATCAGTGAGAGCAGTGAGAGCAGTGACACCAGTGACACCAGTGACATCAGTGAGAGCAGTGAGAGCAGTGACACCAGTGAGAGCAGTGAGAGCAGTGACACCAGTGAGAGCAGTGAGAGCAGTGAGAGCAGTGACACCAGTGACACCAGTGAGAGCAGTGAGAGCAGTGACACCAGTGAGAGCAGTGACACCAGTGAGAGCAGTGACACCAGTGAGAGCAGTGAGAGCAGTGAGAGCAGTGAGAGCAGTGAAAGCAGTGACACCAGTGAGAGCAGTGAGAGCAGTGAGAGCAGTGACACCAGTGAGAGCAGTGAGAAACACCAGTGAGAGCAGTGAGAGCAGTGACACCAGTGAGAGCAGTGACACCAGTGAGAGCAGTGAGAGCAGTGAGAGCAGTGAAAGCAGTGACACCAGTGAGAGCAGTGACACCAGTGAGAGCAGTGAGAGCAGTGAGAGCAGTGACACCAGTGAGAGCAGTGACACCAGTGACACCAGTGAGAGCAGTGAGAGCAGTGACACCAGTGAGAGCAGTGACACCAGTGAGAGCAGTGACACCAGTGACACCAGTGACATCAGTGAGAGCAGTGAGAGCAGTGACACCAGTGAGAGCAGTGAGAGCAGTGACACCAGTGAGAGCAGTGAGAGCAGTGAGAGCAGTGACACCAGTGACACCAGTGAGAGCAGTGAGAGCAGTGACACCAGTGAGAGCAGTGACACCAGTGAGAGCAGTGACACCAGTGAGAGCAGTGAGAGCAGTGAAAGCAGTGACACCAGTGAGAGCAGTGAGAGCAGTGAGAGCAGTGACACCAGTGAGAGCAGTGAGAAACACCAGTGAGAGCAGTGAGAGCAGTGACACCAGTGAGAGCAGTGAGAGCAGTGAGAGCAGTGAAAGCAGTGACACCAGTGAGAGCAGTGACACCAGTGAGAGCAGTGAGAGCAGTGAGAGCAGTGACACCAGTGAGAGCAGTGACACCAGTGACACCAGTGAGAGCAGTGAGAGCAGTGACACCAGTGAGAGCAGTGACACCAGTGAGAGCAGTGACACCAGTGACACCAGTGACATCAGTGAGAGCAGTGAGAGCAGTGACACCAGTGAGAGCAGTGAGAGCAGTGACACCAGTGAGAGCAGTGAGAGCAGTGAGAGCAGTGACACCAGTGACACCAGTGAGAGCAGTGAGAGCAGTGACACCAGTGAGAGCAGTGACACCAGTGAGAGCAGTGACACCAGTGAGAGCAGTGAGAGCAGTGAGAGCAGTGAGAGCAGTGAAAGCAGTGACACCAGTGAGAGCAGTGAGAGCAGTGAGAGCAGTGACACCAGTGAGAGCAGTGAGAAACACCAGTGAGAGCAGTGAGAGCAGTGACACCAGTGAGAGCAGTGACACCAGTGAGAGCAGTGAGAGCAGTGAGAGCAGTGAAAGCAGTGACACCAGTGAGAGCAGTGACACCAGTGAGAGCAGTGAGAGCAGTGAGAGCAGTGACACCAGTGAGAGCAGTGACACCAGTGACACCAGTGAGAGCAGTGAGAGCAGTGACACCAGTGAGAGCAGTGACACCAGTGAGAGCAGTGACACCAGTGACACCAGTGACATCAGTGAGAGCAGTGAGAGCAGTGACACCAGTGACACCAGTGACATCAGTGAGAGCAGTGAGAGCAGTGACACCAGTGAGAGCAGTGAGAGCAGTGACACCAGTGAGAGCAGTGAGAGCAGTGAGAGCAGTGACACCAGTGACACCAGTGAGAGCAGTGAGAGCAGTGACACCAGTGAGAGCAGTGACACCAGTGAGAGCAGTGACACCAGTGAGAGCAGTGAGAGCAGTGAGAGCAGTGAGAGCAGTGAAAGCAGTGACACCAGTGAGAGCAGTGAGAGCAGTGAGAGCAGTGACACCAGTGAGAGCAGTGAGAAACACCAGTGAGAGCAGTGAGAGCAGTGACACCAGTGAGAGCAGTGACACCAGTGAGAGCAGTGAGAGCAGTGAGAGCAGTGAAAGCAGTGACACCAGTGAGAGCAGTGACACCAGTGAGAGCAGTGAGAGCAGTGAGAGCAGTGACACCAGTGAGAGCAGTGACACCAGTGACACCAGTGAGAGCAGTGAGAGCAGTGACACCAGTGAGAGCAGTGACACCAGTGAGAGCAGTGACACCAGTGACACCAGTGACATCAGTGAGAGCAGTGAGAGCAGTGACACCAGTGAGAGCAGTGAGAGCAGTGACACCAGTGAGAGCAGTGAGAGCAGTGAGAGCAGTGACACCAGTGACACCAGTGAGAGCAGTGAGAGCAGTGACACCAGTGAGAGCAGTGACACCAGTGAGAGCAGTGACACCAGTGAGAGCAGTGAGAGCAGTGAGAGCAGTGAAAGCAGTGACACCAGTGAGAGCAGTGAGAGCAGTGAGAGCAGTGACACCAGTGAGAGCAGTGAGAAACACCAGTGAGAGCAGTGAGAGCAGTGACACCAGTGAGAGCAGTGAGAGCAGTGAGAGCAGTGAAAGCAGTGACACCAGTGAGAGCAGTGACACCAGTGAGAGCAGTGAGAGCAGTGAGAGCAGTGACACCAGTGAGAGCAGTGACACCAGTGACACCAGTGAGAGCAGTGAGAGCAGTGACACCAGTGAGAGCAGTGACACCAGTGAGAGCAGTGACACCAGTGACACCAGTGACATCAGTGAGAGCAGTGAGAGCAGTGACACCAGTGAGAGCAGTGAGAGCAGTGACACCAGTGAGAGCAGTGAGAGCAGTGAGAGCAGTGACACCAGTGACACCAGTGAGAGCAGTGAGAGCAGTGACACCAGTGAGAGCAGTGACACCAGTGAGAGCAGTGACACCAGTGAGAGCAGTGAGAGCAGTGAGAGCAGTGAAAGCAGTGACACCAGTGAGAGCAGTGAGAGCAGTGAGAGCAGTGACACCAGTGAGAGCAGTGAGAAACACCAGTGAGAGCAGTGAGAGCAGTGACACCAGTGAGAGCAGTGAGAGCAGTGAGAGCAGTGAAAGCAGTGACACCAGTGAGAGCAGTGACACCAGTGAGAGCAGTGAGAGCAGTGAGAGCAGTGACACCAGTGAGAGCAGTGACACCAGTGACACCAGTGAGAGCAGTGAGAGCAGTGACACCAGTGAGAGCAGTGACACCAGTGAGAGCAGTGACACCAGTGACACCAGTGACATCAGTGAGAGCAGTGAGAGCAGTGACACCAGTGAGAGCAGTGAGAGCAGTGACACCAGTGAGAGCAGTGACACCAGTGAGAGCAGTGAGAGCAGTGACACCAGTGAGAGCAGTGACACCAGTGAGAGCAGTGACACCAGTGAGAGCAGTGAGAGCAGTGAGAGCAGTGAGAGCAGTGAAAGCAGTGACACCAGTGAGAGCAGTGAGAGCAGTGACACCAGTGAGAGCAGTGAGAAACACCAGTGAGAGCAGTGAGAGCAGTGACACCAGTGAGAGCAGTGAGAGCAGTGAGAGCAGTGACACCAGTGACACCAGTGAGAGCAGTGAGAGCAGTACGTGAGCCAGATGTCAGCCACGGCCGGCCACCGGAACAGGGACACCCCCCGCTCGTATGCCTGCGGGACACCGGGGACACCGGTGAGAGCAGTGACATCAGTGACACCAGTGACACCAGTGAGAGCAGTGAGAGCAGTGACACCAGTGACACCAGTGAGAGCAGTGAGAGCAGTGACACCAGTGACACCAGTGAGAGCAGTGAGAGCAGTGACACCAGTGACACCAGTGAGAGCAGTGAGAGCAGTGAGAGCAGTGAGAGCAGTGAAAGCAGTGACACCAGTGAGAGCAGTGAGAGCAGTGACACCAGTGAGAGCAGTGAGAGCAGTGAGAGCAGTGAGAGCAGTGACACCAGTGAGAGCAGTGACACCAGTGACACCAGTGAGAGCAGTGAGAGCAGTGAGAGCAGTGACACCAGTGAGAAACACCAGTGACACCAGTGAGAGCAGTGACACCAGTGAGAGCAGTGACACCAGTGAGAGCAGTGACACCAGTGAGAGCAGTGAGAGCAGTGAGAGCAGTGAAAGCAGTGACACCAGTGAGAGCAGTGAGAGCAGTGAGACCAGTGACACCAGTGAGAGCAGTGAGAGCAGTGAGAGCAGTGACACCAGTGAGAGCAGTGACACCAGTGACACCAGTGAGAGCAGTGAGAGCAGTGAGAGCAGTGACACGAGTGAGAGCAGTGACACCAGTGAGAGCAGTGAGAGCAGTGAGAGCAGTGACACCAGTGAGAGCAGTGACACCAGTGACACCAGTGAGAGCAGTGACACCAGTGAGAGCAGTGAGACCAGTGACACCAGTGATACCAGTGAGAGCAGTGAGAGCAGTGACACCAGTGACACCAGTGAGAGCAGTGAGAGCAGTGACACCAGTGAGAGCAGTGACACCAGTGAGAGCAGTGAGAGCAGTGACACCAGTGACACCAGTGAGAGCAGTGACACCAGTGAGAGCAGTGAGCAGTGACACAGTGCCCATCCCCCCCCCCCCGCCGCCGCCCCTCCCCCACCTTGAAGCTCTCCTCGAAGTACCCTCTCTCCTCGAGGCAGAGCCCGTAGTTGATGACGATCTGGGGGGTGGCGATGCGCAGGTCCAGGATGCGCTCGTACACGGCCTTGGTCGACTGCGGCGCGGCAACGGGTCAGTGCCCGGCACCCAGCACCCAACACACAGCACCCAGCACCCATCAGCACCCGGCACCCAGCACCCAGCACCCAGCAGCACCCAGCACCCAGCAGCGCCCAGCACCCAGCACCCAGCACCACCCAGCACCCAACAGTGCCCGGCACCCAGCACCCAGCACCCAGCAGCACCCAGCACCCATCAGCGCCCAGCACCCAGCACCCAACAGTGCCCGGCACCCAGCACCCAGCACCCAGCACCCATCAGTGCCCAGCACCCAGCACCCATCAGCACCCAGCACCCATCAGCGCCCAGCACCCAGCACCCATCAGTGCCCAGCACCCAGCACCCATCAGTACCCGGCACCCAGCACCCAACAGTGCCCGGCACCCAGCACCCAGCACCCAACAGTGCCCAGCACCCAGCACCCATCAGTACCCGGCACCCAGCACCCAACAGTGCCCGGCACCCAGCACCCAGCACCCAGCAGCACCCAGCAGCGCCCGGCACCCAGCAGCACCCAGCACCCAGCACCCATCAGCACCCATCAGCATCCAGCACCCAGCAGCGCCCGGCACCCAGCACCCATCAGCACCCATCAGCATCCATCAGCACCCAGCACCCATCAGCACCCAGCACCCAGCACCCATCGGCACCCAGCAGCACCCAGCAGCCATCAGTACCCAGCAGCCATCAGTACCCAGCACCCAGCAGCACCCAGTGGCACCCAGCACCCAGCACCCAGCACCCACCAGTACCCATCAGCACCCAGCACCCATCAGCACCCAGCACCCATCAGTACCCAGCACCCATCAGCACCCAGCATCCATCAGTACCCAGCACCCATCAGTACCCATCAGTACCCATCAGCACCCATCAGCACCCAGAACCCATCAGTACCCAGCACCCAGCAGCACCCAGCACCCATCAGCACCCAGCACCCAGCAGTACCCAGCAGCACCCAGCAGCACCCAGAACCCATCAGTACCCAGCACACATTAGTACCCATCGGCACTCATCAGCACCCAGCACCCAGCACCCATCATCACCCACACATGGTGTGAATGCTATGGGTCCTATGGGTGCTATGGGATGCTATGAGGTGGGTGCTATGGGTGCTATAGGGCGGATGCTATGGGTCGCTATGGGGCAGGACCCACCTGGAAGGTGCCCAGGCTCTCCTCCAGGTCGGCCAGCATGGACCAGAGGCGCAGTGGGGTGCTATGGGATGCTATGAGGTGGGTGCTATGGGGCGGATGCTATGGGGCGCTATGGGGCAGGACCCACCTGGAAGGTGCCCAGGCTCTCCTCCAGGTCGGCCAGCATGGACCAGAGGCGCAGTGGGGTGCTATGGGTGCTATGGGATGCTATGGGATGGGTGCTATGGGTGCTATGGGATGCTATGAGGTGGGTGCTATGGGGCGGATGCTATGGGGTGCTATGGGGCGCTATGGGGCAGGACCCACCTGGAAGGTGCCCAGGCTCTCCTCCAGGTCGGCCAGCATGGACCAGAGGCGCAGTGGGATGCTATGGGTGCTATGGGATGCTATGAGGTGGGTGCTATGGGGCGGATGCTATGGGGCGCTATGGGGCGCTATGGGGCAGGACCCACCTGGAAGGTGCCCAGGCTCTCCTCCAGGTCAGCCAGCATGGACCAGAGGCGCAGTGGGATGCTATGGGTGCTATGGGATGCTATGGGATGGGTGCTATGGGTGCTATGGGGCAGATGCTATGGGGCGCTATGGGGCGCTATGGGGCAGGACCCACCTGGAAGGTGCCCAGGCTCTCCTCCAGGTCGGCCAGCATGGACCAGAGGCGCAGTGGGGTGCTATGGGATGCTATGGGATGCTATGAGGTGGGTGCTATGGGGCGGATGCTATGGGGCGCTATGGGGCGCTATGGGGCAGGACCCACCTGGAAGGTGCCCAGGCTCTCCTCCAGGTCGGCCAGCATGGACCAGAGGCGCAGTGGGATGCTATGGGTGCTATGGGATGCTATGAGGTGGGTGCTATGGGGCGGATGCTATGGGGCGCTATGGGGCGCTATGGGGCAGGACCCACCTGGAAGGTGCCCAGGCTCTCCTCCAGGTCAGCCAGCATGGACCAGAGGCGCAGTGGGATGCTATGGGTGCTATGGGATGCTATGGGATGGGTGCTATGGGTGCTATGGGGCAGATGCTATGGGGCGCTATGGGTCGCTATGGGGCAGGACCCACCTGGAAGGTGCCCAGGCTCTCCTCCAGGTCGGCCAGCATGGACCAGAGGCGCAGTGGGGTGCTATGGGTGCTATGGGATGCTATGGGATGGGTGCTATGGGTGCTATGGGATGCTATGAGGTGGGTGCTATGGGGCGGATGCTATGGGGCGCTATGGGGCGCTATGGGGCAGGACCCACCTGGAAGGTGCCCAGGCTCTCCTCCAGGTCGGCCAGCATGGACCAGAGGCGCAGTGGGATGCTATGGGTGCTATGGGATGCTATGAGGTGGGTGCTATGGGGCGGATGCTATGGGGCGCTATGGGGCGCTATGGGGCAGGACCCACCTGGAAGGTGCCCAGGCTCTCCTCCAGGTCAGCCAGCATGGACCAGAGGCGCAGTGGGATGCTATGGGTGCTATGGGATGCTATGGGATGGGTGCTATGGGGCTATGGATGCTATGCTATGGGGCGCTATGGGGCAGGACCCACCTGGAAGGTGCCCAGGCTCTCCTCCAGGTCGGCCAGCATGGACCAGAGGCGCAGTGGGGTGCTATGGGATGCTATGGGATGCTATGAGGTGGGTGCTATGGGGCGGATGCTATGGGGCGCTATGGGGCGCTATGGGGCAGGACCCACCTGGAAGGTGCCCAGGCTCTCCTCCAGGTCGGCCAGCATGGACCAGAGGCGCAGGCTCTTGTAGAGCCGGTTCTGGACGGGCTCGGAGCTGTCGAAGTACTCGGCGCGGCGGGCAGGGAGTGCGGTGGCTCGCTGGGGGAGGACCCACCTGGGGTGCACCCAGGTTATGGTCGGCCAGCATGGACCAGAGGCGCATGGGTGCTATGGGTGCTATAGGGTTCTATGGATCTCTATGTGTCCCTATGTGTCTCTATGGTCTCTATGTGTCTCTATGGGTCTCTATGTGTCTCTATGTGTCTCTATGGATCCCTATGTGTCTCTATGGGTCTCTATGTGTCTCTATGGATGCTATAGGTCTCTATAGGTCTCTATGGGTCTCCATGGGTCTCTATGGGGCAGCGCAGGGGCTCACCCGCATGATGCTCAGCGCCTCCTCGTAGTTGCGTTATGTGTCTCTATGTGTCTCTATGTGTCTCTATGTGTCTCTATGTGTCCCTATGGGTCTCTATGGGTCTCTATGTGTCTCTATGTGTCTCTATGTGTCTCTATGGGTCTCTATGGGTCTCTATGGGTCTCTTTGTGTCTCTATGGATCCGTATGTGTCTCTATGGGTGTCTATGTGTCTCTATGGGTCTCTATGGATCCGTATGTGTCTCTATGGGTGTCTATGTGTCTCTATGGGTGCTATAGGTCTCTGTGGGTCTCCATGGGTCTCTATGGGGCAGCCATGGGTGCGCTCACCCGCAGGATGCTCAGCGCCTCCTCGTAGTTGCGCTATGTGTCTCTATGTGTGCTATAGGGTTCTATGTGTCTCTATGTGTCCCTATGTGTGCTATAGGGTTCTATGTGTCTCTATGTGTCTCTATGTGTCTCTATGTGTCTCTATGGGTCTCTATGGGTCAATGTGGGTCTCTATGGGTCTCTATGGGTCAATGTGGGGCAGCGCAGGGGCTCACCCGCAGGATGCTCAGCGCCTCCTCGTAGTTGCGCTATGTGTCTCTATGTGTGTCTATGGGTGCTATAGGGTTCTATGTGTCTCTATGTGTCCCTATGGGTCTCCATGGGTCAATGTGGGGCAGCGCAGGGGCTCACCCGCAGGATGCTCAGCGCCTCCTCGTAGTTGCGGTGCCTCAGCTCCATCTCGCCGTACTCGCACCACACGGCCGCCAGGTCCTCGACGTGGCGGAACCGAACCCGGGTGGCCTTGGCCAGGATGGTGCGAGCCTGGGGGGCACAGGGCAGGGATGGGGGGCAGCCATGGGGCAGGGCCATGGGGATGGGGATGTGGGGCAGGGATGTGGGGCAGCCATGGGGCAGGGCCATGGGGCAGGGCCATGGGGATGGGGGGCAGGGCCATGGGGCAGGGCCATGGGGATGGGGGGCAGGGCCATGGGGATGGGGATGTGGGGCAGGGATGTGGGGCAGCCATGGGGATGTGGGGCAGGGCCATGGGGCAGGGCCATGGGGATGGGAATGGGGGGCAGGGCCATGGGGATGGGGATGGGGGGCAGGGCCATGGGGATGGGGATGGGGGGCAGGGGATGTGGGGCAGGGCCATGGGGCAGGGCCATGGGGAGCGCTATGGGGGAGCGCCATGGGGCAGAGCCATGGGGCAGGGCCATGGGGAGCGCCAAGGGGCAGCGCTATGGGGCAGAGCCATGGGGCAGGGCCATGGGGAGCGCTATGAGGCAGAGCCATGGGGCAGGGCCATGGGGAGCGCTATGGGGCAGAGCCATGGGGCAGGGCCATGGGGCAGGGCCATGGGGAGCGCAATGGGGCAGCGCCATGGGGCAGGGCCATGGGGATGTGGGGCAGGGATGTGGGGCAGGGGATGGGGGGCAGGGCCATGGGGCAGGCCATAGGGATGGGGATGGGGGGCAGAGCCATGGGGCAGGGCCATGGGGCAGGGCCATGGGGATGGGGGGCAGGGCCATGGGGCAGGGGATGTGGGGCCGTGGGGATGGGGGGCAGGGCCATGGGGCAGGGGATGTGGGGACGGGCCCATGGGGACAGGGCCATCCCAGTTGGGATGTGGGTCCCCACAGACGGGTGCTGCCGCCCCATAGATGGGTACTGCTGCCCCATAGATGGGTGCTGCCCCATAGATGCATGCTACCCCATAGATGTGTGCCGCTGCCCCATAGATGGGTGCTGCCCCATAGATGGGTGCTGCCCCATAGATGCATGCTACCCCATAGATGGGTGCTGCCGCCCCATAGATGCGTGCCACCCCATAGATGTATGCTGCCCCATAGACAGGTGCTGCCCCACAGACGGGTGCTGCCCCACAGACAGGTGCTGCCCCATAGTAGACAGGTGCTGCCCCATACACGGGTGCCGCCCCATACATGGGTGCTGCCCCACAAACGGGTGCTGCTGCCCCACAGATGTGTGCTGCCCCACAGACGGGTGCTGCCCCATAGATGGGTGCTGCCCCACAAACGGGTGCTGCTGCCCCATAGACGGGTGCTGCTGCCCCATAGATGGGTGCTGCCCCACAGACGGTGCTGCCCCACAAACGGGTGCTGCTGCCCCATAGATGCGTGCTGCCCCACAGACGGGTGCTGCCCCATAGACAGGTGCTGCCCCACAGACGGGTGCTGCTGCCCCATAGACGGGTGCTGCCCCACAGACGGGTGCTGCCCCATAGATGGGTGCTGCCCCACACACGGGTGCTGCTGCCCCATAGACGGGTGCTGCTGCCCCATAGATGGGTGCTGCCCCACAGACGGTGCTGCCCCACAAACGGGTGCTGCTGCCCCATAGATGCGTGCTGCCCCACAGACGGGTGCTGCCCCATAGACAGGTGCTGCCCCACAGACGGGTGCTGCCCCACAGACGGGTGCTGCCCCATAGACGGGTGCTGCTGCCCCATAGATGCGTGCTGCCCCACAGACGGGTGCTGCCCCACAGACGGGTGCTGCCCCACAGATGGGTGCTGCCCCATAGACAGGTGCTGCCCCACAGACAGGTGCTGCTGCCCCATAGATGCGTGCTGCCCCATAGATCCGTGCTGCCCCACAGATGGGTGCTGCTGCCCCATAGCTGCGTGCTGCCCCACAGACGGGTGCTGCTGCCCCATAGATCCGTGCTGCCCCACAGATGGTTGCTGCTGCCCCATAGCTGCGTGCTGCCCCACAGACGGGTGCTGCCGCCCCATAGATGCGTGGGGCCCACTCACGTCCTCCAGCTGCCCGTTGTCCTCGTAGAAGCGGGCGAAGGCGACCCAGAGCCCGTGGGGGCGCCCGGTGGCCTTGAAGGGCTCCACGGTGCGCACGGCCTCCGTGTACGTGTGGATGATCTGGGGGGCGGCCCCGACACCCCATAGCACCCATGGACCACATAGCACCCATAGACCCCATAGCACCCATGGACCCCATGGACGCCACAGCACCCATAGCACCCATAGCAGCCATGGACCCCATAGCAGCCATGGACCCCAGAGCACCCATGGACCCCATAGCACCCATGGACCCCATGGACCCCAGAGCACCCATAGCACCCATGGACCCCATAGCACCCATGGACCCCATAGCACCCATAGCACCCATGGACCCCATAGCACCCATGGACCCCATAGCACCCATAGACCCCATAGCACCCATAGCATCCATGGACCACATAGCACCCATGGACCCCATAGCACCCATGGACCACATAGCACCCATGGACCCCATAGCACCCATAGACCCCATAGCACCCATAGCACCCATAACACCTATGGACCGCATAGCACCTGCAGCACCCATGGACCCCATAGCCCCATGAACCCCAGGTACCCCATAGCACCCATGGACCACATAGCGTCCATAGCACCCATGGACCCCATAGCACCCATATCACCCATGAACCCCATAGCACCCACAGCACCCATGGACCCCATGTACCCCATAGCACCCACAGCACCCATGGACCCCATAGCGTCCATAGCACCCATGGACCCCACAGCCCCATGGACCCCATAGCACCCATGGACCCCATGTACCCCATAGCACCCATGGACCCCATAGCCCACAGATACCCCACGTACCCCATAGCCCCTGTGTACCCCATTTACCCCATAGCACCCATTTACCCCATAGCACCCATGTACCCCATAGCCCCCATCCCCCCCACCCCGGTACCCGCTGCGGGTCCCCCCGCTGGAGCTGGACCCTCTTGTGCCACTCGTGGCCGTTATCCCCATCCCCCCCATCCTCATCACCCCCCCACCCCCCATCCCCCCCCACATCCCCATTCCCCCCATCCCCCCCCATCCCCCCCGTACCCGCTGGGGGTCCCCCCGCTGGAGCTGGACCCTCTTGTGCCACTCGTGGCCGTTATCCCCCATCCCCCCCCCCATCCCCCATCCCCCCCCATCCCCCATCCCCCCCATCCCCCCACCCCCCGGTACCCGCTGCGGGTCCCCCCGCTGGAGCTGGACCCTCTTGTGCCACTCGTGGCCGTTATCCCCCATCCCCCCCCACATCCCCCATCCCCCCACATCCCCCCCCATCCCCCCACCCCCCGGTACCCGCTGCGGGTCCCCCCGCTGGAGCTGGACCCTCTTGTGCCACTCGTGGCCGTTATCCCCCATCCCCCCCATCCCCCCCCCCCCCATCCCCCCCATCCCCCCCACCCCCCACCCCCCGGTACCCGCTGCGGGTCCCC